GTCTCTGCATAAACCGAAGAAGAACAGGTTGCAAAATCTGATCCCTGTACTGGACAGCATTTAAGTTCCCTTGGACAACAACAAGAGGAGAACGTCCATGTGCACAAAAAGAACCCCAAACCATGACGCTGCCGCCACCAAATCGGTCAACTTCTCTGACGCATACTTGAGCGTAACGTTCACCTCGTCTGCGGTACACTCGGACCCTGTCAAAGTGAATCGAGATTCGTCACTAAAGACAACCGAATTCCGCTGTCTTTGAGTAAATCTTATGTGTCTTGTGGCCCAAACAAGTCGGTTACGGCGATGAAGAGGTGTCAATATTGGTCCATTTTAGGGCCTCCGACCTCGAAGACCAGCAGTCTGCAAGCGATTTCGAATAGTTTGTGCAGTTACCCTTCCACCAAACATCTCTCTACTTGTGGAGGTTGCAGTGACAAATCTGTTTCTAAGATGACGTAATCGTATTGCTTGATCTTCCTGGAGTGACGTCACACGTGGCGCTTCCGCCCTTGGGCGGTCGGCAATAGTTCCAGTTTGAAGCACTCTCATTCTAAGATTAATTATTGTCTGGCGTGAACAATTAAAAGCTCTTGCAACAGTGACCACTATAGAGCCTACCTATAGCACGTAGACGTTCTACATTTCAAAGGCGCGGCATTTTCTAACAAAGATGAAAATAACAATTTTAATTTGTTTTTCCAGTTCAAGTTACGTGTGCGTGTTCAGTTTAAGCAAACTTGCATCGATTGACCTCACGAGTGTGTGTTTGCATGTGTTTTTCAGGTTTTTCATCTTTATATGCTCAAAAGTCACGTGATTTTTATGAAATTAAAGGCTTCTTACTACTTACTATCGTTAGAAACACTTTAAAATTTATTTGACTTACCCGAAAAAAAATTTTGTTGAAATTCATCAGTGTCAAGTTTTTAATTTGGCTGAGTATATTTATGTGTTTTTATTTCAGATCTACAGACTCTTTGTTTCATTGCGATAGTTTTGCATTCCATTCTTTATTTTTTTTTTCATGATCACCAGTTTGTATTGTGATGTTTTCGTATTTTAACTCAAACCATCAGAGGGGAGTGTGAGAGACTGGATGATCATGATACGTGACTTGTGGTTCGAGATGTGTGTTACGTCAATAGCTTAGCGCGCGGTCTGCACGGACTACCGGCGATTTGTAAACATGCCGATTTAGCTCAGTTCAATTTCTATCATGTACGTTTGTTTGATTCCATCGCGGTAAGGGTCTATCCAATTGTGTATGTTTATTCTAATATAACTCAGTGCTCTAAAACTCAATCTGGTGTTTGTTGTTTCTGCCTTCGTCGGCATAGTTCAAGGGGATTGTAATAATTCAGTGACTCTGGAGAGGCCCGCGCTACAATATTTTGACTAAAAACATATTCAGACTAATTAATTTATCATAATTTTGCTTCAAATCCTTCTCAAACATTGCAATTGTCGGAAATACCCTGGCTATAAAGAATCGATCAAAAGAGGTCATGTTTGGGTCACGTGACTTACCTCTCTCGGTACCGATGCGAAGTAGGAGGAGAATTCATTGCGTACGTAATACGATTGTCTTTAATCGCTGACTATTTATTACAAATATAGAAGCCTAATTAAATTCTCGGATTATCCACCGCCCACGTCTCTTTCCGTGAATTTTATCTCAGAAAGTGTTGTACGTCTAGTTCTTCATAAAGTTTATCAACATGTACATCAAGCGCTCAATCTCCGCGTGAAACCTTCGACGTCACGCGTGCAGACAAGGGGATTGTAATAATTCAGTGACTCTGGAGAGGCCCGCGCTACAATATTTTGACTAAAAACATATTCAGACTAATTAATTTATCATAATTTTGCTTCAAATCCTTCTCAAACATTGCAATTGTCGGAAATACCCTGGCTATAAAGAATCGATCAAAAGAGGTCATGTTTGGGTCACGTGACTTACCTCTCTCGGTACCGATGAGAAGTAGTAGGAGAATTCATTGCGTACGTAATACGATGTTGTCTTTAATCGCTGACTATTTATTACAAATATAGAAGCCTAATTAAATTCTCGGATTATCCACCGCCCACGTCTCTTTCCGTGAATTTTATCTCAGAAAGTGTTGTACGTCTAGTTCTTCATAAAGTTTATCAACATGTACATCAAGCGCTCAATCTCCGCGTGAAACCGTCGACGTCACGCGTGCAGACACTCCTAATCGTCGGGCTGTCGATTAGGGAAACCCTTACATTTTGTCCTGTATGCGCTCCATGAGTGTTTTTCAGGGAATCCAGTATTTTTCCATATATACTTTCCATATATTATACCAAAATTGCCATACTTTTATTGTAAATAACCACCCGATAAATACTTTCTGGGAACGTAGCTTTAAGTCAACGGCACCAAATAAAACGATTGGGGCACTACGGGGTAGAGTTACGTTGTGACTATCCTTCGTCACGGCACTAAATAAAAATACCAGTGACACTATGGGGACAGATGTGACACTTTCTTCTAGGCATTTCTTTGATTTCACGTTGTGGGATCAATTATTTCAATCATCAATTAACCGACTCTGGAACACCGTTTATGTTGTTACTTAGTTTATATAATTAAACAAATAAAGCAAACTACAAAGTTATGATAGTACTTTTCGAGTTATTAAAATATCCACGGTCTGGGTTTAATATTCTTTCTAACTCAGACCAGAACGGCTTATACGTGGCCAGAGCCACATACTTCTTGATAGTTCTACATGAGGTTCCGCTAGGATGGTGTGTTCACCCTAGCCTCTAAGCCGAGGAGGCTATGGATATGTTCCCCTTGAGCTCCGAATAATGTCTTCCCTATGGACTCATTATGATATTTTGGGGTAAATCAAACAAGCTCTCTTCTGTAGAGGAAGTATAATGCGTCATCTATTAGGGCGGGACAATTACCATTTTTGGTTAAGTGTTTCGTATAGGCACCTTTTTACGTCAACACTATTCTAGTTAATTGTACTAATCCGTGCACGACATGACTGGACTATAGTACCCTACTTCCAGCAATGGATACTGACATAACTGTCGGTGAGTTAGTCTAAGATAGTAGTAGAATAATGCAAGCTACTTCATTACCCTAGTTTTCGTCACACATCATGTAGGTAAAGAATTTCTATATTAAACAGAACACCTTTCTTATAACTAAACTAAACCCCACAGTATTACATCTATTTGTGTGCCAGGCTTTTCTGAGAGTGTGGTTCCCGTTGCCAATGGCGTTCATCAATTGTCTGGTCCACTCCATGTACAGACGCTGCACTGTTGTTATTGACACTCGCGGTGGACACACCAGATACTGATGTATAGACTGTGTACAGACTCTAAACCTTCTCGTATTGTCTTGGAGTTGTGATGAATTAATGATCACTAATGTGTCAACATGTGTCAACATACTGTTCACTCTCTGGATTGTCCCCCTTTGACTGCTAATATAAGCGACCATGCACGTGCATTCAACACTCGGCCAGGTGATTTTGAGGTGACAACAAGTAAAGTTCAGTCTATCAAGATGGATCGTGCTATTTGGAATGACAATAAGAAAGTGCACGTATTATCAGTTTTGGAGAAATACAGGGTAAATGGTAATCCACCCAATACTGTTGTCAATTTTGAAGTAGGAAAGAATGCAGAAAGTAAAGAATTATTTTAGGTATTGAATTGAAACGAGAAAACCTTGTCCTTCTGGCTATGGCAGCAATTTTAGTTGCTAATGAGGAAGAAGAAGCGCAGTTGGGGAACGAATCTGGTGAGGAGCCAGCCCGTAAGAAGAAACGCACTAAGGAACCGGCGAAGGTATATAAGTGTATATATTGTTTAGGGTGCTGAGTATAAATGTATTTATTGTTTGAGGCGCCGAGTCTCATGAGCGGGAATCGGTTGGGCGACTGTACGAGTACACATGGGTAAAATAGAATAAATCTAGGTCAGTTTGGAGATGAGTAGAGGCGTTCAATTCTCAATTTAATGTTAAGAACGTTTTATCCTGTTAGAATTTAAAATAAATAGTTAAAGCTCTATGATTACTATTAGTTGGACTAGCATAGTTCATATCGACGGATGCCGGGAGAAATAGGTAGCTTTCTGCACGTTGCGGTATACCAGTTCTTGGCAATATACTAAACATTTTATTAGAATCTAAATGGGTATATAAAATACATATATGATAATCTTTGGAAAATGGCCACGTTTTTGGATATTGGTCATGACCAACCCGCAAGTAGGGGGACATTTATTTAGCTCATATTAAAGGTAGACTGTGAGAGTATAATTTTTGCATGTGGTCAATTAAATGACACCTGTTTTACGTAGACTGCGAAAGCATGATTTTTACATGTGGTCAATTAAATGACACATGTTTTACGTAGCCTGCGAAAGTATGATTTTTACATGTGGTCAATTAAATGACACGTTTTACGTAGATTGTGAAAGTATAATTTTTACATGTGGTCAATTAAATGGCGCATGTTTTGCGTAGACTGAAAGTATAATTTTTACATGTGGTCAATTAAATGCCGCATGTTTTATTTGATATTTTATGCAAAACACAAGTTCCTATTCCTGGGTGTGTCTTTAGAGGTAGTGGATACGGATTCTCATGTCGATGTAGGTAAAAATAAACCCGTTTCATCGTCTGGTATGAATATGCGTCTAAAGAAAGATTTGCATAATGCAGGTTTGTGGGCTGGTGAAACACCACACGGTGCAAGAGGCGCATGTGCTATGACATTAAAGTTGCTGGGCGTTTCTGATCAAAATATTCAAGCTCATGTTGGATGGAAGTCCTCAAAAATGTTACAAAAATATACATCTGTGATGTCGTTGGTCGAGAATAAGGCATCGGCAGCGATGCTGTCGAAGGATTTTGTTGGTGACGTTAGAACAAATGAGGTGTCAGAAATGAGTTCTGATTTAAATAACTAACTGGCGATATACTTTATATAATTTTGTTATTTCAGACGGCAATTGAGAAAGAGGTAGCGGAGTTAAAAATGGTACTTGATCAACAGCAGAAAGTTCAAAATGAAGAATCAGTCGAATCCGCTCTCCGTCAGGTGAAAGAATACGGTAGTCGAACATTTGATTTTAACCCAGACGTCTTTCTGCAGAAGCTAATTACTTTGGAACAAAGAGCTACTGTGTGAACCATCGTAAATTTAAAACGGATTTCTTCGATTATGAACAAACTACTTAACTTTCGTTATTATAAACTTACCTGTGTGTTTGAAATCAACTCCCGTTAAATAAAATCCACTGCACAACTAATTATCCCAACGAATAAACAAGCCAACAGTGAGGCTGATGTCCCCCGCCGAAATCCCCAAATAAATAGATGACACATATTAATTAATCGCACATCTATTTTTTTCCAAAGTATCAAGCAATCAAACTGATTATCAACTATACACTAAGTTTCATCACTCTCTATCAGATAGAATCAAAGTTATCTTGTCCCAAAGCAGGAAATTGCTTATCGCTGCTTAGCTTTAGCTCGATATGTTAATCATTGAACTCAGTCAAGACGAACATCTACATCAAGTTTAAACATTCTACCTCAATTAGAAGAAGAGTTGTTATGTTCCAAAGTCTTGACCAATCAAAATGCTTATTGCTCGTTGGCCTAAGCAGAAAATTTTCATCATCGAACTTAGTCAAGGTATTGATGTAATGAAACTATACACCAAGTTTCATCACTCTCACTTAATTAGAACTAAAGTTATCGTGTTCCAAAGCATCAACCAATCAAATTGCTTATCTCTGCTTTCCCTAAGCCGAAAATGCGGATCTTCGCACTCCATCAAGGCATTGACCTCAAACACCTACACCAAGTTATTTAGAAGGAGAGTTATTGTGTTCCAAAGTCTCGGTCAATCAAATTGCTTATCGCTCTGCTTACCCTGAGCAGAAAATGCTCATAATCGAACTTAGTCAAGATATTGATGTAATGAAACTATACACCAAGTTTCATCACTCTCACTTAATTGGAACTAAAGTTATCGTGTCCCAAAGCATCAACCAATCAAATTGCTTATCTCTGCTTACCCTAAGCAGAAAATGCTTATCTTCACACTCCATCAAGGCATTGACCTAATAAACAACTACACCAAGTTTGAACATTCTAGCTCAATTAGAAGGAGGGTTATTGTGTCCCAAAAAGTGTGACGGACAGACGGACGGACGGACGGACGGACAGACAGACAGACAGACCCACAGACAGACAGACCCATTTTAATAGTCCCCTGCTTTCTTCGAAAGGCGGGTGACAACAAATTCTCTCTTGAAAAATTGAATTCCCACAAACTTTGACACAGAAAAATACCAATATGGAAGATGATTACGTCACTCCCAGGGCGATATCATTTCGTATAAGGGGTGACAGAATAGCAACTCGGCACTTTTACGACAATTCAAGTTTGGTTTAAGAAAAAGCTACAAATCTCGGCTCGGCATTGAGTTTGGGCGTTCACACACATAACTGTCCGTATTCTTTTATTTTGTTGCCGTCTTTTACATTCTGGTAAAATCTCTGCAAATTTTATAACTTTACCTTTTGAAATATTTTGTTTTAATTATTTAAAAGCAAAGAAACATAAATCAATTCATAATATTTTTTTATTAATCTTGCTACTCTGTTTTTCTTTGCAATCCATACATAGATAGACTACTATAAATGTAGTAAATGTATCAACACATCGTCTTTGTTTACTTCGGACGCGCCCGTGTGAATTCGAAAAAAACATCTCGAGTTTTAAAACAAACTAAAACATTCTTTTAATTTTTACTTCTGCACAATTAATCATCATTCCGGACAGTATTATACCTGAACTTTATTTTCATAATTTTAAAATCCTTCGTACATGCGGGAATTTTGAGTATTTATCAAAACCAAAATGCTTACAAAAACTACGAAAATATTGAAATCGATCATTTCACAATTTTCAACTGCTGCATTTGGAAATTTCAAAGTTCTAAACTGGAGAAATTCGTCACTACCGGATAGGAATACTTATTGGGTTGAAATATTACCATGTAACTATAAGAATACTGTAAGTTCGAGAAATTAATCTGTATAAAATCCAGCTATGTCAAATATCACATCGCTTGATTTGCCGGTGACAATTGAGATCTCGTCATGTCTCGAGCGAGCGGCAGAGAATCCAACCAACGGGACTATACGGTCCATGGTTTCAATATAAATCTTCAGTTGATATTTCCGTCGCCCAAACTCAAACGATCGTAATAATCGCGCTTTGTTTTCATTGCAACACGTGGTTATCAAACTATCTGTCAAAATTAAACCACCCCCGCAACAGCTGCAATGGGGAAATATAAACCGATACAGTGATGATAGCGCTTGTAAAAAGTGTTTTTAGAATAAAATAAACCAATAATTTAATATTGAAAAATAAAATTCATTGCTTTAAAAACTTGCGCTCTAAAAGGCTGTGTCCTGCGATTTACAAAAATGTTTAGTTTGAAATTTTAGAGTCGGTAGTTTTTGTTTAAATCGTATTTTGAAACTGCCACGCCCATATTTTTATGTTGAAAATTCGGTAGGCCTACCGATATTTTTTTTTGTAAGTAATTGAGATAGCTATTGGAACTTCTGCAACAACTTTCATAAGTATATGAAATAATTATAAACATGAAGATCGTATTTTTTACTTCATTATTTATATTTTTAAAAAGTATGTCAACACAGATGTTGTTGAAGAAAAAACTTGGAAGTTTTTGGGTCCAACTATGGAATTTTATTTTTTTGTCAAAATTATAATTTAGATAGCTGCTGGAAATTGTGTCACAACTTTCCTAAGTATATGAAATAATTAAAAACACGAAGGTCGTATTTTTTTACTTCAATCTTTATATATTTTAAAAATTTCCACGCCCATTTTTTTATGTTCGAAATTTTTGGTACCAATATTTTATTCTATTCTATAGCTACTTTCTTAAGCATATAAAATAATTAAAAACATGTAGGTCATTTTATTTACTTCATTATTAAAAATTTTATACTTAAACCTGATAGTTCATTTAAAAATTTCTCGTTTGCCCCTTGGCTCAGTTATACTCAGACAAGAAATTTGGTATGATTTATCAAAATAGACAAAAAGTAATTAGTAGATGGCACACTTGACTTTTTTTAATTGCTTATTTACCTTTTTATAAGGATCAACCATTTTCGCCATGTATCAAAGTTCTCACTTGATTAGAATAAAAGTTGTTGAACTCCAATAATCAAATTGCTCATCATCGAACTTAGTCAAGGTATTGGTGTGATGATAAACGCCAAGTTTCACCAGTCTCACTCAATTAGAATGAAAGCTGTCGAACTCTAAAGGCTTAATCGGAGTCGAAGAAAATGCTCATTATGGATTACTTACTCATGGTTTTGATGTAATTAAACATCAGGTGCGAAGAAAAATGGGGTTTTAATGTCCACTCGACACAAACTAGAGTATTACGGGACTACGTATGGTTCGATTTATTTCAATAATTCGCTTGTGCGTAGGGTTCATTTGCAGTGGGAGGAAACCGGAGGACCCGGGGAAAACCCATGAGGTTGGACAGTATATATATGATGTCAATGTCCCTACCGTTTAACCGAAAAGGAGAACTCTGCAAGGGACGTAACTCTGTTTTGAGTTTCTTTAAATACGACCTTGACCTAACATAAAGATAGCATTCTGGGAAAAGAACAGCGATAGGCTCATGATGCTTTTTATACGCCCACATTTTCATGTGGACGTATATTGTCGTCGCCCCTGTCCGTCCGTCCGTCCGTCCACAATTGTTTGTGAACAGTCTACAGGTCACAATTTTTATCCGATTTCAATGAAACTATTGGACCATAACTTCATGGATTATGGCCCCTGATTGTACGAAAAATCACATTTTTGGCTTGTGAACACTGTAGAGGTCACAATTTTTATCCAATTTTGTTGAAACTTGAAATATAAGTTTATAACCCAAAGATCTCGATTCCTTTCGATATTCGCGCATATCGAACCGTAACTTCCTGAATTATGGCCCTGATTGTACGAAAAAACGCGTTTTTTGGCTTGTGGACCCTATAGAGGTCATAATTTTTATCCGATTTAAAAAACCGTATTATTATATCACCGTTAAACCCTAAGGACGGTTGAGTTCGAATTTCGTGAAAATCGGCCCAAAACTGACAGACGAAATAGCCGCCGTTCGTTCTCAAATAGCGTAAAAAGATGGTATATCAAGGTTGTGGACCCTATAGAGGTCACAATTTTTATCCGATTTTGTTGAAACTTGAAATTTAAGTTTTAAAGCCAAAGTTCTGGGTTCCTTTCGAACTTCGCGCATATCGGACCGTAACTTCCTGAATTATGGCCCCTGCCCACATAACAATATGATGTTAATTTTACGTTACATTTACGTAAAAATGGTCAGTCAGTTTACCATCATTTTGCTCATCTTTTTAACGATAATTTTACGTCAGGAAATGACGTTAATCTAACGTAAACTTTACGTCATTTTTACGTTATATTTACGTCATTTTCTGACGTAAATCTAACGTAAACTTTACGTCATTTTCTGACGTAAATCTAACGTAAAATTTGCGTAAAGTTTACGTCATTTTCGTTAGATTTACGTCAGAAAATGACGTAAACTTTACGTTAGATTTACGTCAGAAAATGATGTAAATATAACGTAAAAATGACGTAAACTTTACGCTAGATTAACGTCATTTCCTGACGTTAAATTGTCGTTAAAAGGATGAGCAAAATGATGGATATCTAACCGACCATTATAACGTAAATCTAACATTAAATTAACATCATTTACGGATGCAATTCTAATGTCAAATTTTGATGACCAAAGTTACGAAAATATAACAAACCATTAAAACCTTCAAAATTATTCATTATTTGCGGCAGTAACTGGGAAGTACATTCAATCAATAATCAAATTTTCCTGACCCGTGGGTGAGGCTAAAAGTTGAGTGGTCCAACGTGTGCGCTTTAGATCATAAGGTCTGTCATTGAGTCAAGTGGTTTGTTTCCACACCCAACTTGAACATGGGTTTTCTCTGGGTCCTCCTACTACTAAAGATTCCTGGTGCGGATGAATTATTCAACTTGAATTGAATCACTTAGTCCCAAAGGACAGTTTATGTCTATTGGATGTTTTACCCCATTGCTCTCTATCTACCCATAACCAGTCAGAATTCTAAATGTATTGCACAGAAAAGTTAAAAATCTAGCAGAATAATATGACAAAATATACTACAAGTATGTATACATATACTTTATTTAAAAGACAAAAATATAATGTTATAAAATACAAAATACACATTTAAATATTAACAGTTTTTATCCACAGCTGTTTGAGAAATGAAGACGGGCATATGCCACACAGTGTGCAGAGCTATGGCGTACTCTTATATAAAATTCCAACTGCCAAGGGATCTTTCACACACACACACTTGAGTTTACACTGTACCTTGTTTTTTTGGTCCCTTCCGTATGACTAGTCAGCCATCCATGTCAGGTCCTCTGTCCGGCATCACTGACAAGGGAAAATGTTCAAGAAAAAGGTCTACATTAGCGCTATGAAAGTGCTGATATGCATATAAGA